TAAAATTTCAACAAATTTGTTAACTGTTTTTTTTTTTTTGAAAATTGCCGAATTCGTTGAAATGGTGTAGGGTATTCAAGGCTCGGCCCAGCCGAACTTACAGCTTTTTTACTTGTTTCTATTTCTTTACGGTGAACTTCATTACTATATCGGTAAATATTTAGTACTTATTAAAAACTAAAATAACGTACTAGTAACAAAAATATATATTAAAATTTAAATTTTATTTTTAAAACCAAAAAAAATATATATATAAAATTTTAGTAATACTGAAGGGAATGAGACTCTTTGTTAATATTTAGGGTCAAAGCCAGATTAAGTCCAAGCTGTCCTCTAAATATAAAATTATTTTTTATGTTTGCATGAGGTAAGAACAGTGTCAGACCACAAGTTCGCTTACGCCTAGGGTTCAATATTATTTGCCACTCTAGGCTTGGAAATAAAACCGCTTTGTATATATGAATCAAGAACGAATCAATTACAAGATGGGTTACTGCCTATATTAGTAAGTTATGATTAAAACAATATGTAAAAGAGTAACTGAGAACAATTCTTGTAATGAGTATTTGTGTTCACTCATTACAACTGTCAGTTGCTACTCTCAGTGCAAATAGCTCTACCCAATGACTACAAATGTCTTCAGTTATCAGAATCCATTTATGTCTTTGTGTAGTTCTTGGGAGTGGTTGAAGAAGGACGAAAGCCACAACTTCGAAGCGTTGATTACTGGAAACAGTACGATATACTTATTGTGGTCTTGAATTAGTCGATTTGTAACGTTGACATTCATTAGTTATTTCTGCCCTCGTGCCTTTCCCATAATATTGGAAAAGGACGAAAGCCACAACTTCAAAACGTTGATTACTGGATAAAGTGCGATTAGTGCTTGTGGTCTTGAATTAGTTGATTTGTAACGTTTACATTCATCACAACTTTTCACATAATTAGCTATTTCTGCCCTCGTGCCATTCCCATAATATTGTGGAGCAATTCGTTTGATTGTTTTTTCAATGCTGTAATGTCCCGCTAAGGGATTGACATGAAAACGCCATAGTATTTTACTGTGCATTAACTTTGGCACTACAGCTGTCCATTTCCCGTATCTTGGTTGGAAAAATATCGATATAAAATTCCATCTATCATGAGGTATCCTTTTCTAGTGTATCTAGAAATATCGTCGGTATAATTTTCAAACGAGTTAATGATTGTTTTTACTTCTTCAACCTCAAGCTGATATTTTCTCAGTGTGGCCTGGAAAGAATGTCTGCAACGATGTTTTGTCCTCCTAGAGTATACCCAAAGAGTTACAACACTGAAGCTCTAATGCCAATATGGCTAAACGACATGTAGTCGATTTTAAGCTAATAAGACACTTTAATGGTTAGTGGCCTGTGAGAACCAATATTTCTGATTCCTCAATATAAACAAGGAAGTTTGTAACTGCCAATGCTACCCTTTCTGTTGTTGAATAGTTCCGTTCTGCTTGTAGCCAAAGTCGTATTCCTTATCGCGCATAATTACTAGCGTCTTTTTTCAAAATAAATGGCTCAGAATGATTTATCTGTTGCAAGAAGCGTTTTCAATTTTAAAAAAGTTTCATTTTAAATTTCGGTCCATTTCCAGTTTTTCTTAGTTAAACTGTGTGCAAAATTCGGTTTAAAACGACGATACCATGAACACGTTTGTAAAAATGAAATGAGCTGCTTTAAATTCTTGAGGATCTGCTATTAATCCAATTTTACTTAATATATGACCTATGCATTTAACTTTAGGCTTACAAAAATTGCATTTTGCTCCATTAAGCCGCAAATTAAACGTTTTGATTCTGTCAAAGGTTTTGCGCAAGTCTTTAATATGAGATTTTATATCCGTTGAGCATATTATAATGCCATCCAAATATACTGAAATAGTTGTTTGAGAAAGATCATTTCGAAATTTATTCACAGGTCTTTGAAATGTTGCGGCTGCGTTTTTAATCCAACTGGCATTCTGTTGAAAAAGGGTGTTGTAAATGTTGTTGTTATTTTATTTTTTCTGCTCTTTAAATCTGCCAATATCCAGACTTCAAGTTGATTGTAAACATATGACATATTTTCGCTGCATTCAACAAATAATCCATTCTTGGAAGAGGGTATTTGTCTGTTGTAGTGATCGCATTTAATCGGCGATAATCTACACAAACTCGAACTTCTCCTGACATTTCGGTGATCAGGATTAGGAGAAACGTCAGTGTAGATTCTTCTTCCTGAATAATATGTTTCTTCAACATATCCGTATTTCTGTTTATAATTTTTCTTTCCTGTTTGCGGAAATATGATATAGAGGACATGATTGAATTGGTCTGTGGTTCCCTGTATCAATAAAATGTTCCTCCTCTGGAATTGGGTCTGCTTTGTCCTTAAAAACATGCTTCATTCCTTCCACTAAATTTTCTAGTTTTTTCTTTGTTTATTATCTAAAATTCTTCCTTCAATTTCTCTGAATTTAAAATCGAAAGTATTTATTCGAATCAACGACTGAAACTTTACAGTTTTACTATTTAAATTTCCTACGTTTAAGGGATTGAAACAAATTCAATTCCGTAAAATCTTGGGGAATACTTCCCTCAAAAATTCAGTTAATTCCACCTAGCGAATATTAGTGGTGTTTTATTTATTATTTGCCACTCTGTGCTTAGAAATAAAACCGCTTTGAATAAATTTAGATTTTGTTTATTATTAGGCAAGCAGTCATAGAATGTTTATTGCTGTTACTATTTATATTAGAAAGTTATGAGTAAAAAAATATGTAAAAGAGTAACTAAGACCAATTCTTATAATGAGTGAACACAAATTTTTCAAAATAACACAATAAAAGTTAGTTAAATAACCTTCAATTGCAGTGATGCACACAAATTTATGCCAAACAAGCAAATAATTCGAGAACAGCACAAAATAAATAATAAAAATATAAGGTCCGTTACTATAAATTCCGAATTTAACTAGAGCCACGAATTTAACAGAGAAAATAACATAGCTATGTTAACTTAACAGAGCTACATAAAAATTGTTTTTTCCTTAATATTTTTGATTATTAATTACTTATCGTATAAAAACGCTAACAAAATGCATTATATAATCATAATTAAATTATATTCCAAAGATTGTAAGGCAACATACACCCATTAACTCGTAGCACAATACTATGCGCCAGGACAAGTTTACACCAAACTGTGCCTTCCAGGACAATTCTGCCGGCACAATATGGGTACGTACGGAAAGCTTATGAAGTCTACTATCCATTGGCATTAACAAAATTATAGGAACGTCCGGCCAGTTCCGAGGTATATGGTGATTTCTGGAGGTATCTTTGGAACAGGATAACTCCATTGGCCAATATACCTTCCAGGACAATTCTGCCGGTACAACATAGGTACCTACAGAAAGCTTATGAAGTTTACTATCCAATGGCATTAACAAAATTATAGGAAGGTCCGGCCAGTTCCGAGGTATATGGTGATTTCAGGAGGTATCCTTGGAACAGGATAACTCCATTGGCCAATATGCCTTCCAGGACAATTCTGCCGGCACAATGTGGGTACATACGGAAAGCTTATGAAGTCTATTATCCATTGGCATTAACAAATTTATGGGAAGGTCCGGCCAGTTCCGAGGTATATGGTGATTTCTGGAGGTATCCTTGGAACAGGATAACTCCATTGGCCAATATACCTTCCAGGACAATTCTGCCGGTACAATATAGGTACCTACGGAAAGCTTATGAAGTCTACTATCCAATGGCATTAACAAAATTATAGGAAGGTCCGGCCAGTTCCGAGGTATATGGTGATTTCTGGAGGTATCCTTGGATCAGGATAACTCCATTGGCCAATATGCCTTCCAGGACAATTCTGACGGTACAATATAGGTACCTACGGAAAGCTTATGAAGTCTACTTTCCATTGGCATTAAAAAATTATAGGAAGGTCCGGCCAGTTCCGAGGTATATGGTGATTTCTGGAGGTATCCTTGGAACAGGATACCTCCATTGGCCAATATACCTTCCAGGACAATTCTGCCGGCACAATATGGGTACCTACGGAAAGTTTATGAAGTCTACTATCTACTTATGAAGTCTACTATCCGTCCGAAATGCCCAAATACCTTAGAATCTGTGTGTATGTGATGTAACACACACACTCACTTTGCTGACAGTGGCCCGGGTTCAAATCCAGATCCCAACAATTTTTTTCCACGTGTTTTTTCTTAAAGCCAATGTATAGTAGACTTCATAAGCTTTCCGTAGGTACCCATATTGTGTCGGCGGAATTGTCCTGGAAGGCATATTGGCCAATGGAGTTATCCTGTTCCAAGGATACCTCCAGAAATGACCATATACCTCGGAACTGGCCGGACGTTCCTATAATTTTGTTAATGACAATGGATAGTAGACTTCATAAGCTTTCCGTACGTACCCATATTGTGCCGGCAGAATTGTCCTGGAAGGCACAGTTTGGTGTAAACTTGTCTTGGCGCATAGTATTGTGCTACGAGTTAATGGGTGTATGTTGCCTTACAATCTGTGGAATATAATTTAATTATGATTATATAATGCATTTTGTTAGCGTTTTTATACGATAAGTAATTAATAATCAAAAATATTAAGGAAAAAACAATTTTTATGTAGCTCTGTTAAGTTAACATAGCTATGTTATTTTCTCTGTTAAATTCGTGGCTCTACTTAAATTCGGAATTTATCGTAACGGACCTAAAAATATAAGTGTAAAATAATTAAACAAACAAAACATTTACTATTTATGTTAACAGACAAATATAAACAAACAGGGGCTATAGCAATTGCTGAACCCACACGAGGAGAAATTCGACCACGTAAAAACCCCAAATTAATAATATTGATATATACCATATCAAATATTGAAACTTGATTTTTCTTTAGTATACGAAAAACTGTGTGGTTTTACATACCATTTCTAACTTTTTTCTTCAATATTATCTTTATAGGAGCCAGTCATTCAAAGAAGATGATGGAACATGGAAAGGAAATGATGATGGAAAGGTGGTAAACAATCAACCTCAAAGGGTAATGGATGACAGAAATGGTATGATGGCTCAAGCAGGATATATCGGAAGGTAGGATTTTTGTGCACATACTTATCTTAAATCAAATATTATTTTGTATTAGAAAATGTCAATAGTTATAATCACAAATGTTTGTTTTAAATAACAAAATTATCAAAATTACAATTAAAAAGTTGTAAGTTCAGCCAGACCGAACTTTTAATACCATTTACCATTTGGAAATAATTTGGCAATTGTTAAAATCTTAAAAATACCGAATGTAGCCGTTATATTAGGGTCTATACGACGACGTGGACCTGCATCGGCAACTTTTGTCATAATTCGATGAATAATGTAGCTAAGATCATCAAAATACCGAATATAGGCAGGTACAATTATATTGGGAGGTTATACCAAAACGTGGACCTGCTCAGACGATATTCTCTCATAGGCTCTAGCATGGCTCATTAAGAAAGGTTGCTCAACTTCAAGGAAAGTAAAAAAATACAACTCTGTGCTGGAGTCTTATAGTATCAAATAGATTTTAAATATGCAACAGTTTATTTTGTTTATTTGCGAAATAAGATTGGAGTTTTGGGGTTATAAAATTATCGTATTTTTTATTAAAAACAATACACACATATACACAAAATATGTATACGTTTTGACAGAATAAGGGCACCAAAAGAAAAATATTGTATTTATGTATGGAGTAGCTTTGTTTTACCTTCTGTAATTGTGCCATGGGCTGTAGTACCCATTACGAACTTCAAATACCAAATTTGAAACAATTCCGGCGAATAATGTCGCTAAAATCCCAAAAAGAATGAATATCGGGAGGAATTGAGATAAAAGGCTAAAAATTTCCACAGGCAAAGGCAGGTTAAATTCGTACATGGGTCATGTCGGTCTACATTTTCGTATAGCCTTCATATAATATGAACTCTCAATATTCGGATGATTTTTGCGACATTATAAACCGGAATTGTCTCATATTTCGTAATGGAAGATCTTAATTGGTGCTACAATCTATGACAACAAATTACTTGCCACGTCTTTGTGTACCCCACATATAATGGTACCTACCTTTTCGGTAATTTCATGATAGTAGCGACATTATTTGACGGAATTGCTATGAATTTCATATTTGAAGCTCCTATTGGGTACTACAGGCATGAACAAATACGAGGACCTACATAAGTAGTTTTAATACGAAATTTGAAAACATAGAACATTGAGAGGTACCATTACATGGGGGCTAGATAAAAACGTGAACCAACATGATCGATTTACGAACTTAACCTTCGTTCGGCAAAGTTAATATACCGTTCGTAGTAAGGTAATAATTATTTTAATTTATAAATATAAAAAAATAAAGTGAAATTCGTTTTGTGGACATAAGGAGACGGCGACTTCCACCATCACAGTTTTCCACTGTCAAAGTTACGTGTATTAAGCCAAATCAGGAGGGGTTCTGTAGTAATATGGGGTAGTGATTTCGTTGTTAAGCAAAATAATCCCATTGCTATTGTTTTTAAAACTACTAGAGGAACTATGCAAATAGAAAGGTAGTTTGACTTAAAAGGTACCATATTTAACTCTGTACTAGAGTTTTATTATGTCGAATAGACTTTTAGATCATGCATTACAATTAATAATATTTTCGAATTGAAAAGACAGAGTTGGCGTACTTTATTAAGTAAAGGAAAGTTGGCACGTTTAGCAAGGTGTATGACAGGGTGTACCTTGGTTTCAGAAAGAGCCACCAATCCTTATCAGTTCTCCTGGTTTTATGTGGAGCCATTCTCCCATATATGACAGAAACTCTTTATACCCTTGTGATCTTTTCCTTCATATAAAAAATTCTAATTTTCTCCACTGTTTTGATTTCTTTAGCAAACTAAAGTTAGCATAACCTTATAAGTTGGTTTTATACCCTCCACCATTCTACGGAGGGTATATTAATTTTGTCATTCCGTTTGTAACTCCACGAAATACTCATGTCAGACCCAACAAAGTATATATATTCTTGATCAGCTTAAAATTCTAAGTCGATTCGATGTCTGTCTGTATATTGTAATCAAGCTTTCTTTCGAACGAATTGAGATAGAAAGCTAAATTTTTGCACACATATTTATTTTGCCAGTAGGCAGGTTACGTTCGTAAATGGGTCATGTAGGTCCACTTGGGTCATATAGCCCTCATATAACGGTACCTCCCGATATTCAGTATATTGATGATTTTAGCGACATTATTGTAATCACGCTATCTTTCGAACGAATTGAGATTGAAGGCTAAATTTTCCACACATGTTCATTTTGCCAGTAGGCATGTTAAGTTCGTTTCTTATAGCCCCCATATAACGGTACCTCCCGATATTGTTTCAAATTTGGTATTTGAAGTTCGAAATAGATAATACAGGTCCACGTCGTATAGACCCCAATATAACGGCTATATTCGGCATTTTTAGGATTTTAAAAGAATTTTTAGCGGATTTTATTTTTTGAAAATTTTCAAATTTGTTCCAAATGGTGGAGGGTATTCAAAGTTCGGCCCGGCCGAACTTAAGGTCCATTAAGATAAATACCGTATTTATCTAGCGGAGACATAAACCACTATGTTAACAGAGCCATTAACAGAGCAATGTTAAACTTAACAGAGCATAAAGAAAATTGTTATTTTTTAAAAAATTATATTTTCTAATGTTTAGTCATCAAAGAATTTATTTTTTTTTTATGATAAACAACAACTATAGCTTTAATTAAAAAATTTATGAAAAGCTGTCTTGCTACGGGTACCCACTAACTTGTAGTTGCCCAATATGTGACAGGACATTGGCATTAGATAAACTACGTTTTAAAACAATTCTTCCAATTCAACATGCACATCAGTAAAAAGCTTACGAAGAGTACTATCCATTGGCATAATAAAAATTGTGGGTCAATCGGACAGATTCCGAGGTATTTGGATATTTCTGGAAAAATCCTTTGGACAGGATAATTCCATTGGCCAATATGCCTTCCAGGACAATTCTTCCAATCCGATATGCACATCAATGGAAAGCTTACGAAGAGTACTATCCATTGGCATAATAAAAATTGTGGGTCAATCCGACAGATTCCGAGGTATTTGGCTATTTCTGGAAAAATCCTTTGGACAGGATAATTCCATTGGCCAATATGCCTTCCAGGACAATTCTTCCAATCCAACATGCACATCAATGGAAAGCTTACGAAGAGTACTATCCATTGGCATAATAAAAATTGTGGGTCAATCGGACAGATTCCGAGGTATTTGGCTATTTCTGGAAAAATCCTTTGGACAGGATAATTCCATTGGCCAATATGCCTTCCAGGGCAATTCTTCCAATCCGATATGCACATCAATGGAAAGCTTACGAAGAGTACTATCCATTGGCATAATAAAAATTGTGGGTCAATCCGACAGATTCGAGGTATTTGGCTATTTCTGGAAAAATCCTTTGGACAGGATAATTCCATTGGCCAATATGCCTTCCAGGACAATTCTTCAAATACAAAATGCACATCAATGGAAAGCTTACGAAGAGTACTATCCATTGGCATAATAAAAATTGTGGGTCAATCGGACAGATTCCGAGGTATTTTGATATTTCTGGAAAAATCCTTTGGACAGGATAATTCCATTGGCCAATATGCCTTCCAGGACAATTCTTCCAATCCGATATGCACATCAATGGAAAGCTTACGAAGAGTACTATCCATTGGCATAATAAAAATTGTGGGTCAATCGGACAGATTCCGAGGTATTTGGATATTTCTGGAAAAATCCTTTGGACAGGATAATTCCATTGGCCAATATGCCTTCCAGGACAATTCTTCCAATCCAACATGCACATCAATGGAAAGCTTACGAAGAGTACTATCCATTGGCATAATAAAAATTGTGGGTCAATCCGACAGATTCCGAGGTATTTGGATATTTCTGGAAAAATCCTTTGGACAGGATAATTCCATTGGCCAATATGCCTTCCAGGACAATTCTTCCAATACAAAATGCACATCAATGGAAAGCTTACGAAGAGTACTATCCATTGGCATAATAAAAATTGTGGGTCAATCCGACAGATTCCTTGGTATTTGGCTAGTTCTGGAAAAATCCTTTATTCCAATGGATAGTACTCTTCGTAAGCTTTCCATTGATGTGCATATCGGATTGGAAGAATTGTCCTGGAAGGCATATTGGCCAATGGAATTATCCTGTCCAAAGGATTTTTCTAGAAATTGCCAAATACCTCGGAATCTGTCCGATTGACACACAATTTTTATTATGCCAATGGATAGTACTCTTCGTAAGCTTTCCATTGATGTGCATATCGGATTGGAAGAATTGTTCTGGAAGGCATATTGGCCAATGGAATTATCCTGTCCAAAGGATTTTTCCAGAAATATCCAAATACCTCGGAATCTGTCCGATTGACCCACAATTTTTATTATGCCAATGGATAGTACTCTTCGTAAGCTTTCCATTGATGTGCATATCGGATTGGAAGAATTGTCCTGGAAGTCATATTGGCCAATGGAATTATCCTGTCCAAAGGATTTTTCCAGAAATAGCCAAATACCTCGGAATCTGTCGGATTGACCCACAATTTTTATTATGCCAATGGATAGTACTCTTCGTAAGCTTTTTACTGATGTGCATGTTGAATTTGAAGAATTGTTTTAAAACGTAGTTTATCTAATGCCAATGTCCTGTCACATATTGGGCAACTACAAGTTAGTGGGTACCCGTAGCAAGACAGCTTTTCATAAATTTTTTAATTAAAGCTATAGTTGTTGTTTATCATAAAAAAAATAAATTCTTTGATGACTAAACATTAGAAAATATAATTTTTTAAAAAATAACAATTTTCTTTATGCTCTGTTAAGTTTAACATTGCTCTGTTAATGGCTCTGTTAACATAGTGGTTTATGTCTCCGCTAGATAAATACGGTATTTATCTTAATGGACCTCCGAACTTACTCCTTTTTAACTTGTTTTCTATTACAATAAATAAAAATTGTTAAAAGCATTTCTGCAAAATTCAAGGT